GCATGGAGGCTGGGGTTAGTACATTTGAAAATAGTGGGTTATTGGACAAAAAGTGGGTTCTTGGACAGTTGGTTATTGGACAAATAGTGGGTTATTGGACAGTGGGATAGATTGCCGGTGGGATTCTGTCCATTTGCAGCTTATTGCATGGAGGCTGGGGTTAGTACATTTGAAAATAGTGGGTTATTGGACAAAAAGTGGGTTCTTGGACAGTTGGTTATTGGACAAATAGTGGGTTATTGGACAGTGGGATAGATTGCAAGTGGGATTCTGTCCATTTGCAGCTTTTTGCATGGAGGCTGAGGTTAGTACATTTGAAAAATAGTGGGTTATTGGACAAATAGTGGGTTCTTGGACAGTGGGATAGATTGCCGGTGGGATTCTGTCCATTTGCAGCTTATTGCATGGAAGCTGGGGTTAGTACATTTGAAAATAGTGGGTTATTGGACAAAAAGTGTGTTCTTGGACAGTTGGTTATTGGACAAATAGTGGGTTATTGGACAGTGGGATAGATTGCAAGTGGGATTCTGTCCATTTGCAGCTTATTGCATGGAGGCTGAGGTTAGTACATTTGAAAAATAGTGGGTTATTGGACAAATAGTGGGTTATTGGACAGTGGGATAGATTGCAGGTGGGATTCTGTCCATTTACAGCTTATTGCATGGAGGCTGGGGTTAGTACATTTGAAAATAGTGGGTTATTGGACAAAAAGTGTGTTCTTGGACAGTTGGTTATTGGACAAATAGTGGGTTATTGGACAGTGGGATAGATTGCCGGTGGGATTCTGTCCATTTGCAGCTTATTGCATGGAGGCTGGGGTTAGTACATTTGAAAATAGTGGGTTATTGGACAAATAGTGGGTTATTGGACAGTGGGATAGATTGCAGGTGGGATTCTGTCCATTTGCAGCTTATTGCATGGAGGCTGGGGTTAGTACATTTGAAAAATAGTGGGTTATTGGACAAATAGTGGGTTCTTGGACAGTTGGTTATTGGACAAATAGTGGGTTATTGGACAGTGGGATAGATTGCAGGTGGGATTCTGTCCATTTGCAGCTTATTGCATGGAGGCTGGGGTTAGTACATTTGAAAATAGTGGGTTATTGGACACATAGTGGGTTCGTGGACAGTGGAATTATGGGACGGCGCTTGGTGCTACGGACTCGGGGGCCCCGGCCGAGCGCAGACGAGTGGTTTTCGTCACGACCGGAACTCCGATCAAAACGTCTATCGAAACACGGCCCGAATCCCCACCCGACGGATCGGCGGCGGGTCCGCGTCCGATCGCGGCGCGTCGGGCGGACTGTGTGAAAAAAAAAAAAAATAGCGGGTTATTGGACGAATAGTGGGTCCGTGGGACGGGGGCGTGGCCCGGCGGCGGTCCCGGGACGTTTGGTAAATATAGTGGGTTATTGGACGAATAGTGGGTCCGTGGGACGGGGGCGTGGCCCGGGGGTGGGCGGGGGGCGTTCCCGAGACGTTTGCCCGATTTAGTGGGTTATTGGACGAATAGTGGGTCCGTGGGACGGGGGCGTGGCCCGGGGTGGGCGCGGGGACGTTCCCGAGACGTTTGCCCGATTTAGTGGGTTATTGGACGAATAGTGGTTTCGCGGGACGGGGGCGTGGCCGGGGGTCCGGGGGCGGGTCGCCGGACCCCCTGTGGGAGCGGTGGCCGGTCGGACGTTTAGTGGGTTCGCGGGACGTTCCGCGGACGGCTCCCCCGTGGGGGTCGAGGCGGAACTGCCCCCGCGCCCCCCTGACTTCGGGCCGCTCCCGTCGGCCCCCCGGGGGGCTCGTCCGCGGACCGCCGTCCGTTTGGGGACTCCCCGCTGGTGGAACGGACCGTTTATAAAGTTTTGGACTAGCTAGAGTTAGTTAAAGTACGTAATGAGTAAATCATCCAAAACTGGCGGTAAAATTAGAAATGGCCGACTTCCTGTCGAGTTTAGGGCATTGCTCCAAGAGGCTTTTCTGTGCGTCTGGACATGGTAGATGTACCACAGAAATTTTGTGCATGTCGGTCAAACATGCGGCGGGGGCTGCTTCGTTAAAGTTCACTTCCTGTTGCCAGCAGGTGGCGCTATGACTGTGGTTGAAAGTCGGCATGTAGATTTGTTCAGGGCATGACTCTTGTCAAATGTGTAAAATTTCGTGCAGATCTGGGCATTTACAGCCAAGTTACTACAACTTCCTGTTTCATGGCGAATCATCGACGCCACGGACACACCCATCGACGAAAACGCGCAGATAGCACAACTTTACATCGTCAATGCCTTTAGAAGGTACAGCAGAAATTTGAAGTCGATCCAACTAAATCCCTAGGAGGAGGAGTTAAAGTACGGAGTGTGTAAATCGTCCCAATTTGGTCGCCGAATTCAAAATGGCGGACTTCCTGTCGAGTTTAGGGTAAGGGTTTTTGAGGCATTTTTGTGCGTCTTCAAAGGATACACGTCCCCACCAAATTTCGTGCATGTAGGTTGAACGTGGACGAGGGGCTAATTTTTTCCAATTTTCTAGGTGGCGCTAGCGAGCCATTTTGCCCCGCCCATCCGCGAAACCCACAAAATACGAAATTTTTCACCAGTCCTGACATGAGTGCCAAATTTGGTGAGTTTTTGAGCATGTTGTGGCCCCGAAAATGGCACTTACTTTGCAGAAAAAAAATAAAAATAAAAAAAAAAAATAAAAAAAATAATAATCCTAACAGTTTCAATAGGGTCCTCGCACTGTTAGTGCTCGGGCCCTAAAAAGAAAAAAAAAAATAACCCTAACAGTTTCAATAGGGTCCTCGCACTGTTAGTGCTCGGGCCCTAAAAATAACCCTAACAGTTTCAATAGGGTCCTCGCACTGTTAGTGCTCGGGCCCTAAAAATAACCCTAACAGTTCCAATAGGGTCCTCGCACTGTTAGTGCTCGGGCCCTAAAAATAACCCTAACAGTTTCAATAGGGTCCTCGCACTGTTAGTGCTCGGGCCCTAATAACCCTAACAGTTTCAATAGGGTCCTCGCACTGTTAGTGCTCGGGCCCTAAAAATAACCCTAACAGTTTCAATAGGGTCCTCGCACTGTTAGTGCTCGGGCCCTAATAACCCTAACAGTTTCAATAGGGTCCTCGCACTGTTAGTGCTCGGGCCCTAAAAATAACCCTAACAGTTTCAAGAGGGTCCTCGCACTGTTAGTGCTCGGGCCCTAAAAAAAGAAAAAAAGAAAAAAGAAAAAAAATAATCCTAACAGTTTCAATAGGGTCCTCGCACTGTTAGTGCTCGGGCCCTAAATATTGATAATAGTTTATTAATAATATAATAATAGCAATAGAATAAGACATTTCAACTACAGAATAAACACACACAAAAATATATTTAATATTTAGCTCTTTGTGCTAAATTTCAGTTTTATTGATCAGTAATAGGCTAGCCATTATAACAGAAGTAGCTTCAGTCAAACATACAATGTTACAATAGCCTAAATATAAAGTTATGAAACTTTACTTTGCCTTCAGCCAAAACTATTTACCAGGGAACCATTTATAGATTAATAGGACCAAAGATAAACACAAATTAAAGCTGCAAGCAGCGATGGGCGGACCCACAAAATATGAAATTTTTCACCAGTCCTGACATACGTGCCAAATTTGGTGAGTTTTTAAGTATGTTGTGGCCTCGAAAATGGCGCTTACTTTGCAGAAAAAAGAAAAAAAAAGAAAAAAAAGAAAAAATAACCCTAACAGTTTCAATAGGGTCCTCGCACTGTTAGTGCTCGGGCCCTAATTATACGAATTATATCTCATGTTTAACCTCTAGACTAGAGACATCCGAGCCAGCGGCAACTGTCAGAAGCACTGGCCGTACGGCTGTTCCAGGCGGGGGAGACGAGCGCTGGGCGGAGGCGCAGCAACTCCGCAAACTTCGGATCAAATTTTTAAATAGGCTCTATCCTTATAAACAAACCACATATTTGAGCTTTAAACAACTACTTTGTCGACTGAAAAACTATTAAAACTACATTGCGTGGCACACAACAGTAGTATTTAATCTCTAAACGTTACTTACTAATTAAATCACGACCAAATACAACTAAAAACAAACGTTCAGTCTTGCTTGTGAAAGGTACTTCCTCGAAAGCTGTTTTCAGTTGTGTGGTGATTTTTACAGCCCCAAGCAGCGCACAAAACAGGCATTTTTCTCAATTCCCGGTATGAGAGGTATGGGAAAGTTGATCTCCCCAACATGGCGGCGCCGTTGGCGTACGCTCCAGCGGCCAATAGTATACAATTATTTTCTATGTATACAATTATTTTCATGTCACACCATATGACGATTGTACGCACTAATACAACAAATTGTCACATAAATTCTGATTCCAATTGAAAATTTTGAAACAACATATGTTTCTATAAAGATGAGAGTTAGTAGAAAAAAAGTCAACCATTTTTATGCCTGTTATTTGAAAGTTTTGAAAAAACACTTTTTTATGGTATACGTCACTGACCCATATATTATGTCTATGCTAATAACCCTAACAGTTTCAAGAGGGTCCTCGCACTGTTAGTGATCGGACCCTAATGAATGTGGAAATAAATAAAAGTGGAAATAAATAAATGAATAAATGTAGAAATAAATAAATAAATTAATGTGTGAAAAAATAAAATTATACATAAATATGGATATAAAAGTATAAATACTCATTTATTTGTACTTTTTTACATTTCTTTGTATATTTATTTATGTATTTATTTTTGTATTTTTGCTTTTTTACATTTCTTCGTATATTTATTTATGTATATATATTTATTTTTAATTAAGTCAGCTTTGGCATTCCATAGTTATCAAGGTAGCCTAGTAAAGCTGTTCATCGCAACATTCCATGATGTGGCAAACATTGATTGTAATCTTTAAGATTACATTACTCTTGCACAAGCTTAAGCTCAAATTTGTTGCTTTAATATTGCTGTGCGTTTGTGATCAAGTGACATCAGAGCATGTGTGCTGTAGAAATAGCAGGGATAGTATTTGGTTAGTGACTCGCTGATATGCTGTCGTTAATCAAAGACAGTTAATAATTAATTTCCTATGCCAACCAAATATTAGAGGAAGGCACTTCAAAGAGAACATTTTACACCAGGCTGTCCTCAGTTATGAAACCAATTCAATTCATTTCCGTGTTGTTTTATTAATTGATTTCATGTTAAATGTCTTATAAATGAGCACTCGGTCAAAGCTGCTTCAGCAGCTTGTTTGGCCAGCCTAGGCGCCATGTCTTGAGACGCTCCATATTCTACAGTGGAGGAATGGCGCTGCTAACACAGCACTTCGACACTCAATGCTGAATTCTCAACGGTATGTATCCTACTGTATCTGTCTGTTCCTCGCGCAACACGTTTTCAATGTTCGAATGGCAAGTGTAGAGTTTGACAGGACCTTTAAAGCAATGATGGCGTTGTTAAGAGCGTCCCAATCTGTTTTATCATGCGATTTAATGCCACCACTTCAATTTATCTTACACTAAAGCAACGTCTTGCCACAATATTACGTTTCGTTCGATCATTTGCTTTATGACGAGAAAACAGTCGCTTGTAACAGTCCTCCAGTTTGCCATTGATTAACTAAACGATATCGATTAAAAATGGGTTTGACTTCTTGAACCGTCTTATTCTAAGAGGTTTTCTGTTTTAAATGCTTGAGAAGCGGTTTTTAAATGATTGCTATGAAAACATGTCACGAATAGCACAGGCTTTCGTTTAGCTTCGTTTCTTTTATTTATTTTTCATATAACACTAAGTTAAGAGGACAGGACGATCCGTGAAGATCTGTCTCACATGATTCGGCGATTCCGGGGCTCGTTCGATGAATGCACTCCTGTCACAGCCTAGGACAGTTAGCCTAGTAGCCTACGAAAAGAACTCTGACAAACAATGTATCGTGATAAAGGATTTATCAGAACTTCATAGTAAAGATACTATTATTTATGACACGAGCTGTGCTGATTTTAAGTCACACTGGCATTCAAATGTATTTCTATTTGAGCTAGAAGTCTGAAAATGAGGCAGAACCAGCTCTACACATACCTCACCTCTCAAAAAAATAAAAAATAAATAAATAATCCAAATTACTGGCTTATTGGCCTACTACCACCTTTAACAAAAACTGATCTATTTAGACTGTCAACTTCAATATAACATTTTCTTATTTATTCAATTTGAGAAGCTTTTTTTTAAACTTGCTAATTCTAATTTTCATATTATGTCTGTAGGTGAGGTAACCTATGAAATTTCTTGATAATGACCACCAAATCATCTTTGCTGAAAGTGATTCTGCTGGGGGATGGTGGCGTAGGAAAGTCATCCCTCATGAACCGCTATGTCTCTAACAAGTTTGATTCACACCTATTCCACACAATCGGTGTGGAGTTTCTTAACAAAGAGCTGGATGTGGATGGTCACATGGTTACCCTACAGATCTGGGACACAGCAGGCCAGGAAAGGTTCCGAAGTCTCCGTACGCCCTTTTACCGTGGCTCTGACTGCTGTCTGCTTACATTTAGCGTGGACGATAATCAAAGTTTCCTGAACCTCAACAACTGGACGAAAGAGTTTGCATTTTATGCAGATGTCAGGAACCCAGAGAAATTTCCTTTTGTTGTTCTAGGAAATAAAGTAGATGTGATGGAGCGTCAGGTGTCAATGGAAGAAGCTCAAAAGTGGTGTCAAGAGAATGGTGGATATCCATACTTTGAGACAAGCGCAAAAGATGCCACTAATGTCTCAGCTGCTTTTGAGGAAGCAGTTAGGCGTGTGCTTGCATCTGAAGATCGTGCAGAACATCTCCTGCCTACAGACACTGTCGACATATGCAGAAAGCCGCGTTCTAACGGCTCGTGCTGTTGATGCGTTTTAATGAAATGGACACAACTGAAGTACTCGTTATGTGCTAGCAAGTAAATGTATACTCTTTAACTCTAAACAGCAGATGCCAGAAATAACTTCTTGTGTGCTGTGCAATATGCTTCCTTTGATACAGCAGAGCTATAATCTCAAACACTTGTCCAGCTCTGAACAAATGAAGAGAATTTTAGAATTACATGCCTTGTTTAGTTTAAAATAATCTCTTTAATTCATATTCCCTTTTCATCTCTTCAAAGCACTGGATTACCTTCCTGTTAGATTTAGATTAAGTTGAGAAATAAACATCATCTATTACATTCATGAATACTGGAATGTGTTTTTATCTCATAAATGTAATTTACAAGCTGTGTTACTTTAAGTGCCTTTAGCACATGGTTGTTTGTTTGCCTTATTTAACAGTCGTGCATCATAAGACGTTTTGGAATATCTTAAGAGTCATGAAGTGTGTTTTTTTTATTTATTATTATTATTTTTTCAAATGTATTTTGTATAATAAACAGAGCGATTCCAATAGGATGATTTCTGTCACAAAATGATTCTCATAATGATCCTGCATGCTCATTTGAGTTTGTGATTTTTTTTTTTTTTTTTTTTTGTATTTGTTAATAATTCACTGAACCATTACTAAATTAAAGTATTTGATTTTAGATTATAGGTTTTTATTGTCTTTTATCATGTTTTTTAAATCAAAAGTTCAGGGTAAAGTTGAAATGTTTTTAATAAAAATAAGAGTGCAATGTTCTCATTTCTACACCAGGTGGCGCAATTACGACAAAATGCACATTTTAAATGCATAAACAGTGCAGAAGGACTTGAGAAATGAGAAATATTGAGAAATGATAGTTACCTTGCAATGCAGTTAAGTTATAAGACTTAAGTTATATCTTTTGCACAGGTTTTTTTAATAACACAAAACAGTGCATATAGATCATAGATTTTTTTTACTAGAGAAGGTTACAAAAATCACTATACAGGATTCATAAAACATCTGACTTCAAATAAAATTGACTGAAACATCTAAGACTATAATTTCCATCAAGATACAATGAAATGTTTGGGGGGAAGACAACTGTGAATTGTAGTTCATTAGAACAATGTACTACACATCACTTGAAGTACTGCAAAAACAAAACAAAATATCTTTCCTTCATGCAATAATAAGGGAACAATAGAACATCCAGGCACACCTTTTCTTTTTCAAAACCTGGGTAAATAGATTAATGGATCTATTAATAAATAATGGACATTAATAGATTAATTCCTGAAAGCTTACTTGAAAAGAATTTAACATACAGCAAGAAATGGCATATAATTGGCAGTAAAACAATTGTATATGTGGACAATACTAACATGCTTATATTTACATTACAGAGAAGAATTATTTCAGTTAAAAGAGATCAATAAAAAGAGTCGTATTGTAAAAGTAGTAATAGAAAGAGAGAGAAACCAGTTAGGAAAAAGATACACTGCCAGAACAAGGCGGCATTATTTGACTGTAAATTCAAACTAATTTCAGAGTTCCACATCCACATAGCAATAACTCACACAGAGGAGTCACAACCATTTCATAAATCTCATGGTAAACATTGATCTTGCCATATTATCAAATTCTAAGACTGAAAAATACATAGATTTAGCAACGAAACTGAAGGAAAGTATAAAACCTGTGTGGCTGATGATGCGAGTTTCTGTTATACATTAATAGGAAATCATTTGTCTATTTTTTTTTTTCATAAAACAAATACATATAAATTGTTCTGCCTCACAGATATATATCAGTCAAATTCTGTTTCCCGGATATAATTTTGAGGGTTTAGTACTCAACCCTCAGATCAGATCAAGAGAGCAACACCCCTGATTTTATGATGTGTTTTGTTATTGTGGCCAGCAGTCGTCCGTAAGGGGCTGTTGGCTTTACTTTCATTTTGTTTTTGTTTATTTTATTATTAAAGTCTTGTATGTTCGCCGGTTCCCGCCTCCTTCTTCCCATAACAACGAACCCCATTACACCGGCATTATTCCCCCAACCCTCAAAAAAATAAATAAATAATAAATAAATAAGAGAGTTGGAAAAAGATGTGAATTCACCTTTGGCTAAGCCACGCCCTAGAATGTAGATTGACCAATCACAGCGCAGCCAAGAAAGAGTTCCCACACAGGTCCGACACTTTTTCACAGTGCTCCATTGACTTTCAACACAGACTTCTCATATTTTTGGTCTCGGCAGGCTATTACCATCGTAGTTTTATCCAAAATATGGTTAAACGTTGTGCCTCGGGCATTTGTAACACAGATACGCGTTTCCCAGAGAGGTTGGAGGGGGGTGTCCGTTTTTTCCCTTCCCAAAACCGAAGTAAAATCCTGACAAGTGTCATCTTTGGATTAAACTGTGAGGATGTCCTCAGTCAGCTAAACCCCGCAAAGATCAACAAGCACATCTTTTTTTACTTCGAACCATACTGTGAGTGTAAAGTTATACCAGTTAAACCGTTTTATAATGTTTTAGGTTATGATTTCGGTTCTCATACCGGTTGTTGATATGCTAGCACACGCTGCTAATAAAAACAATGTTATACTCGTATAGTCCGTTTGCTTTGTAATAACGATTATAGAAGTGAAAAGAGACCTACCAAGCTTTGCATGAACAGTGTTGCTCCCTGATATTGTTTGTCCCAGCCTCCGTCTCGATTAACGTTAGTAGGAAATGCGGTGGTTAATTTTTTGACTGTGACCGGTAACGTTATGCTTTTGCCTCTATTTGGATGCCTTCTTGCGTTTCACCTGTATGTCTTGAATATAGCCTTCGAACGCATATTGCAGCCCCTTTTGCCTACTTCTATCGGACACTTTATTTGCTGCTTTATAAAATTTTGATAACATTTCAGCAGGGAGAGCTGTCACAGCATAAGCCATGCAGAGCGCAGATGAAGTTTGACTGATTTGGCAACAGTAACTAAGGGGGGCGGGGCTTAGCCAAAGGTGAATTCAGATATCTAATATAGAGAGAGCCCAGAGAAAGATTCGAAATAAACAGACATTTTCAATACACAACCTGGCACCCATAGCCTAATAATAATTTAAAAAACAACAACATTCATTCACTTTCACACATTTATATATATTTTTATAAAACACCAAAAAGGAAGTTCCAGCAAAATGTTTGTGAGGAGTTAGTGCAGACAATCTATTATGTAAGCAGCGCTTCACCAAGACAATGCATCATATTTCCATATAACGAATCGGTTACCTAACGTAACCTCGGTTCTCTCTAGATGAGGGAACGAGTATTGCGTAAGCTAGCTTACGCTACGGGAAAGATTCATCTTTGCTGAGAAGTTGAAGCCAAAAAATTATTCCATAATTTTGTAATCATTGTCAACGCAGTCTCTTCTGAGGCAGACCATGAGCGGGCTAGCTAGCGGCTCATTGGTTCGCTCAGAGAGAATGCACGAACCTATGGGAGAGCGGCGCTGAGTCCGCGGCCAATGAGCGGACGGCGCTCGCTCACTGCGTCACAGCCCGCCAAAAGGGGCGTGGCTACAGTGTATAAAGGTCGCTCTCCCAGCTCGTTCGTTGATTCTGTAGCATGAAGCGAAACGCTAGTGGCGCAAGCACGGCCGGGAACGCAATACTCGTTCCCTCATCTAGAGAGAACCGAGGTTACGTTAGGTAACCGATTCGTTCTCTTACGAGAGGTTCTCTCGTATTGCGTAAGCTAGCTTACGCTACGGGAACACCTGGTCAACGCCGTGCGCGCTAAGTAACCACTAAGCATCCCAGGGGAACACCGGGGGAATCTATAAGTGGATGAAGATAATACGGCGGCCGGCATAGCGGCCGTTATCATCTAGTGCAAAAAACGCCCAAAGGCGGCCGGCGAAGGCGGGCCGTGATGTGTAGGCTAATGCATAAGCACATAGGGGAACACAAGGGGTGAGCCGGTTGTGATGGAACTCCCGATAGTGCGGCTTCTATAGGAGGGCTGTGAGTACTAGACCGCCAGAATTTTAGCCTGTAAGGCTGGAACTTCCAAGTTATAAAATCTGACAAAAGTGGAGGGGGAGGCCCATCCCGCAGCCACACAAATGTCGTGGATGGAAATCCCGCAGGACCATGCCCACGATGAGGCCATGCCTCTGGTGGAATGAGCCCTGATGCCCAGAGGGCAAGGCAGGTCTTTAGCGGCATAAGCAGAGGCAATCGCGTCTACTATCCACCTGGATAGGGTCTGTTTCGAGGCGGCTAGTCCCTTGGTGCGGCCACCGAACGACACAAACAGCTGCTCCGAGCGTCTGAACGCGGCAACGCGTGTAGTGTACACTCTGATAGCCCGAACCGGGCAGAGGCGGTCAGCGTCACGTTCGCTATCGGATGCAGGCAGCGCCGATAGAGAGATCACTTGCGCCCTGAAAGGGTACCAATCGCTTTTGGAACATAACCGTGTCTAGGCTTTAGAATGACTATGGAGTCACTCGGTCCAAACTCTAGGCACGCGGCGCTCGAAGACAGCGCGTGAATGTCCCCCACACGTTTTACTGAGGCGAGAGCCGTCAGAAGAACGGTTTTTAACGAGAGGTATTTTAGCTCCACGGACTCAAGTGGTTCAAACGGTGGGGCTTTCAGAGCTTCTAGAACTATAGAAAGATCCCAGACCGGCACCGTAGGGGGGCGAGGGGGGTTCATCCTTCTGGCTCCCCTGAGGAAGCGGATGATTAGCTCGTCTTTGCCCAGAGACTGGGCGCGCCGGGGTTCAACGAACGCCGCGACGGCTGCCACGTAAACCTTAAGAGTGGATGGGGACCTGCCCTTATCCAGCATCTCCTGAAGGAACACTAGCAAAGACGAAACCTCGCACGTCCGTGGGTCCAAATTCTTGTCGGTGCACCATTTGGAGAACACAGACCATTTTGCAGCATAGAGCTTTCTGGTAGAATCCGCTCTGGCGTGTTTGATCGTGTTCAAAACCCCTTCTGGCAATTCGACGCGTAGTCGTTGGTCACCCATGCATGAAGCGCCCAGCGCTGTGGATGGGGATGCCAGATCGAGCCGCGGGCTTGAGTGAGGAGATCTGCTCTGATTGGAATGGGCCACGGGGCTGTCTGTGACAGCCGCGTTAGCTCCGGGAACCAAATCTGATTCTCCCAGCGCGGGGCTATGAGGAGCACCGAGTGGCGTGAGTCCCTGATTCTCTGAATGACCTGCGGTAGCAGAGAAATCGGGGGAAAAGCATAGAGCGGGCGGCGGGGCCAATCCTGGGCTAGCGCGTCCTCGCTCTTTGAAAAGAATATTGGGCAGTGAGCGTTCTCTTCTGACGCGAAAAGATCTATCTCCGCTCTGCCGAATAGGCGCCACAGCGTATGGACTGTTTGAGAGTGCAGGGACCATTCTCCGGGGGAGACCAGGTTCCTGGACAGCCTGTCTGGACCGTCGTTCAGATGGCCCGGCACGTGCGTCGCTCTGAGCGAGAGCAGGTGACTCTGGGACCACAATAGGATGCGGCGTGTCAGATGAAAGAGATTCTTGGATCTGACGCCGCCCTGACGGTTGATGTATGATACCACGGCCATATTGTCGGAGCGAATCAGGACGTGGTGACCGTTTATGCGCGGGAGGAAACACAGCAGCGCGTTCTCGACCGCGATCATTTCCAGACAGTTTATGTGTAGGGAACTCTCGTGGCTCGACCACTGGCCGGCGGCCGGTGAGCCCTCGCAAACCGCTCCCCAACCCGAGTTGGATGCGTCTGTCGAGATAACTTTCCGGCGAGAAAAGGTTCCCATGGTAACGCCCCTCTGAAACCACTCGCTTACTGCCCATGGCTGCAGTGCAGTGATACATGTCTGAGTAATCCTGATCATCTGGCGGCCCGTCGTCCACTCGTGGTGGGATACGCGGCTCTTTAACCAGAGTTGAAGGGGGCGCATGTGCAGAAGACCCAGCTGTAGCACAGCGGAGGCTGAAGCCATATGACCCAGCATCCTCTGAAGCGATTTCAGGGATGTATGGGTACCCATCTGAAACGAGGCGGCTAGGCGCTGAACACGGCGCGCGCGCTGTGTGGATAAGCGAGCCGTCATAGTGATAGAGTTCAAATCTATTCCAAGGAACGAAATAGTTTGACTGGGCTGGAGAGAGCTCTTTGTCCAGTTGACAGAGAGTCCCAGCGCTTCCAGATGGTTGAGGAGAACTGTGCGGTGCGACAGCAGCTCCGTCTGGGAATCTGCTAGAATCAGCCAGTCGTCCAGATAATTCAGTATGCGCAGCCCCTGACTTCGCAGGGGGCGAGCGCTGTATCCATGCACTTCGTGAACGTACGGGGTGCTAAGGATAGGCCGAACGGGAGAACGGCATACTGGTAAACTTGGCCCTCGAAGGCGAAACGTAGGAATGGCCTGTGATGAGGGTTTATCTGGATCTGAAAATAGGCGTCTTTCAGGTCTAGAGAGATGAACCAGTCCCCCTGGCGGACGTGCGCGAGGAGTTTCCTGACTGTGAGCATTTTGAACGGTCTCTTCATGAGCGCTTTGTTCAAAGCCCTGAGATCTAAGATCGGCCTGAGGCCGCCGTCTTTCTTGGGAACCAGAAAATAACGGCCGTAAAACCCCGACTCGGTCATAGATGGCGGGACTCTCTCTATAGCGCCCTTCTGCAGTAGCTTGGCTATTTCTAAGCGAAGCGTGTTCATAGCAGCCGGGCTGACAGTGGATTCGAGCCGCACGCGCGAGCGTGGCGGGCGGCGACGAAACTGTAATCGATACCCATTCTTTATTATGCTTAAAACCCACGGGGAGATGCCGGGGATGGCTTCCCACGCTTCGTAGCATGCGGCTAGTGGTTGAATGGCGATTTCGCCCTGATTGCTGCACATAGCGGGCTGGACACTGGGTGTGGGCTCGCTTATAATGTGGAAGGCAACGGGACTTACACTCAGAGAGGAGTTTATGGGCCGTGAGACAGAGCGGGCAGAGGGGGGACACGCGCACGGGCTCGTGGGCGTGCTTATGTTCTCTGCTACTGGAGCGGATAGTGCACGCTCCGTGAGAATGGGCTCTGTGAGAGACCCTGGGCATAAAGTGCTTGTGTGTGTACGTGAGCACATGGTTGTGGGCACATTTTTTACACTTGAGGCTTTTATGCTCTTTTTGTGAACTCTCTGGGTAGCCGTGAAAACGGCTTTTAGTCGCTCGCAAGCGGGCAGGGAGACCGGCTTGTTTGTGGCGGTAAACACTACTGCAGTCAGCGGTGAGACGGGGACTAACAGTGGGCGAAGCTTTGACGGTGGTCCGGCCGCAGCGGGAGAAAGCCGTCTTTTTCTCAGCTGTGCTAGGCAGACTTCTGTTGATCGGGCTTCAGCGCGATCTTGGGTCGAGGCCCCCGGGGAGGAGGCTGTCTGCGGCGGCTGTCTGAGCGAGAGCGAGGGCGGCCGCCCTGTCTACGCTGGGGCTGCTGAGCTTGCTGAGGCGGGCGCTGCTGTGGGGTCCTGGCAGGCGGCTCGTGAGAGCGGCCCGTCGAAGAGCTCGAGCGGCGGGGCAGGAACAAGTTCATGGCCTGAGTCGCTTTTTGTACCTCGGAGAAGCGGTCAACGATGCCCGTGACGGCAGATCCGAAGAGCCCGGTAGGAGAAATAGGCGCGTTGAGGAACGCGGCGCGTTCTGACTCTCCCATGTCGGTAAGCGTGAGCCATAAGTGTCTCTCGGCGACACAGAGGGCGGCCATGCATCTCCCCAGAGCTTGTGCGGCGGCTTTAGTGGCGCGAAGGGAAAGATCCGTAGCGCTTCTCAGATCCGAAAGGACGGGCGGTTGCCTCCCGCTGCTCGCCATTTCGCACAAGATGTCGCTCTGGAGCACCTGGAGGACAGACATCGAATGCAGCGCTGAAGCGGCCTGACCGGCGGCGGAATAGGCGCGGGCATGGAAGTTAGAGGTCGCTCTGCACGCTTTAGAGGGAAGCGTATGAGAAGACCGCCATCTAGCAGAGGGCGGGCAGAGATGAGCGGCGACCGAGTCCTCGACGGGCGGCATGGCAGTATAACCCTTCTCGGCGGCTCCGTCCACTGAGCGCAGCGAAGCGGACACATCAGAGCGATTACGAGCCGAGAGAGGAGCATTCCAGGATTTCGTGAGCTCGCTGTGAAGCTCAGGCAGGAAAGGTGCAGCCCGGCTGCAGGCGGGGGCCGGACGCCGGTGCAGGAACTTCCCATCCATGCGGTTCGGTGGTTGCTCAGGGGGAGGAGACCACTCGAGACCCAGGCGGCTAACGGCCTGTGAAAGGAGGCGCGTTAGTTCCTCTTCGATGCCGGCGCGGGTCCCCGCAGACTCTCTCGTCGATGAGCCGATCGACGACCAATCCTCGCTGTCCGAAGCGTGCAGCGAACAAGAGTCCTTCTCATCCGCGGTGTCATCGGAGGCGACAGAGCGGCCACTCGGCGGCAACTGTAAGTCCGGCAGGGGCGGAGAGGGAGAGCGGTCGGTGGGCGGCGGCGGCGGCCCACATGGATCCGCAGGGGGCTCCGGCGGCCTCTGGGAGCGGCGTTTTTTCTTCCGCGGCGAAGTGAGAGGCGGCGCTGGAGCGGTTTTGACCGCCTGTAGTCGAGCCCGCAGGGTAGACAGCGGCAGGTCCTCGCAGTGGTCGCATCCTCCGTTGGCGAGGGCGAGTTCTGCGTGCTCCGCTCCGAGACAGAGAGCGCAGATGGGGTGGCGGTCTCCATCCTCGAGCGGAGAGCGGCATGAGCCGCAGGAATTACGAGGCATCTTTAAAAAGACGCTCGTGCTCTTTTAGAAAGGAATATAAAAGGATACGCGTCGGATGGCGCTAGCTTGCTGGGCGGCTGAAGGTGGCAGACGGCCGGCTTCCTCAGACTCCGGAGCTCGCTAGACGGTGCCTTCTCAACGACGGCGGCTTCTTCCCAGGACAGCGGATGCGTGTAGCTCGCTGAATGAACAAGAATCAACGAACGAGCTGGGAGAGCGACCTTTATACACTGTAGCCACGCCCCTTTTGGCGGGCTGTGACGCAGTGAGCGAGCGCCGTCCGCTCATTGGCCGCGGACTCAGCGCCGCTCTCCCATAGGTTCGTGCATTCTCTCTGAGCGAACCAATGAGCCGCTAGCTAGCCCGCTCATGGTCTGCCTCAGAAGAGACTGCGTTGACAATGATTACAAAATTATGGAATAATTTTTTGGCTTCAACTTCTCAGCAAAGATGAATCTTTCCCGTAGCGTAAGCTAGCTTACGCAATACGAGAGAACCTCTCGTAAGAGAACCCAGTTGTAACCATGACTCTACACTTGAACATACACTTTCTACCAATTCAAAAATTGTCAATTCAAAATGACAGTACAATACTAGTGTACATACACTTTTATACCAGTGGTCTTTTATACCATGAAGTGGATGAGCAAAACACATCATATCACTATTAACTGTATCATGGATGATTCCACTTATCATTTGTTAGAGATGTTAAACAACTTCAACATGACATCATGACTTTTGTGTAAACATACACGCCACTTTCGAGCTTGGCGTGTTATCTCTACGCATTTTGAGCTATCCGTGTGTATCCACGTGTTTGCGTGCATGTCTACGCCATTAACGTCCGCGTCATTCCGCGTGTCTGTACACGACGTCAAATCTCCAGTCATAAATGCCATTAACCCCAGTGACGGTTAAGTTTAGGGATGGGGTTGAGGTAAGTCATATCTTTTTCTTTCCTAGGATGGTAAGGGAACAGTCGTAAATGCCTTTAACCCCAGTGACGGTTAGGTTTAGGGACGGGGTTGAGGTAAGTCATATATTTATATAACGTTACGTCAACGGCGTTCATAAACATGCTGAAAAGCGATTATGCATCTTGATAGCACGCCAAAAATGGAAATACGAATTGGCGTGTCATACACACGCTACTTCATGAGATCAGTCTGGTCTGAACGTGTTTCATCATGATTATAGCCAACTTATACCACTGTTATAATGTATAGTCAAGATAGCGCACCGCTTAGCAGTGTTAGTTTGTGCAATGTTCCATCTGAAAGTGGCAGGTCATTGCAGCGGCTGTGTGTTTGTGTTTGGGTGTTTTTGGTGTGGTCTAGAGAGCAGGTTAGGTAGAGGTGGGGTAACAGAGCAGAGCAGAGAGAACTGTTTATGAGTATGAGTTTAGACCCTCCTTGGAGTGTGATTGCACATCCTGCAATTCTTGATCATCCCTGGTCTTGATGTCCTGGTAGTCATGAGTCTGCTGACATGCTCCCTTTAGGTAGGCCCAGTTCGCTGCCAGGATCATCAGGTAGTGGATCTGTGAACAGAGGGGAAAGAGGACAAACAAAATAGACAGAGAGATGGAGAGGTAGAAAGAGAAAGAAACAGGTGGAGGGAAGGATTAGTCATGAGTGGGTTAGTTAGCCAAAGGCAGCTATAAGAGTTAAGACAGTATTAATTGGTTGCCCTAAGAACCAATTAACTTTATCTCAGTGAATTATTACAGCTGCACCACACAGAAATCAATATTAGGTGATCAGAATACACTGAAAAAATATATTTTTTATTGTGTCACTGTAATGTGTAGTTCTGTGTCTGTTTTGTTTCATTGTGTTTTGTTTCTGTTTTCCCTGTTCTGAGTTTTCATAGTTCCTAATTTTACTTTGATTACTCTATTTAAGCCTTCACGTCATTCAAGTTCTTTGTTCAGTCTCGTTTACGTCTTTGTGTAGTTGTTATACTATACTCCTGAAATCTCTTGCTGGATTATTTTTAAATACTGTTTTTGTTATTTGCTCTGCCGTGCGCTTTATTGCAGCCACTTCACCCATTGAAGTTACATCCAATTTATTTTTTTCCCTCCTCAAATTATATTTATGGTTTGGTTCAAACCTTCAATTTTTTTGTAATTTTAGGGATGCATGATTCTGGATAAATTGAAACTTTTTTTTTTTAAGTTATTGATTCTCCCACAATTCTGAATAGGCAACTAAACAAAATAATACATGTTATGTACTAGACGTTCTGACAAAATGTTAAAGGGGGGGTTGACTGCTTTTTTTCTTTGTATGATTGTGTTTATGGGGTGCAATATAACATGTATTTGTGTTTTTTCTTTTTTTAAAAGTCTTATTTTTCATAAACTTCACCTTTATTGTCAGCCGCGTTTTCCTCTGTCCTCGAACGAGCGGTTGACTTCCTGATTCTATGAAACCACTTCCTCAGAAACAGGCAGTGGGTTCAGATTGGTTAGTTTGGGCCGGTGTGTTGTGATTGGCTAAACTGTCGCTCACGTTGTCCATATACTTAACGCCTGTGGCGAGGGGGGCGTGGTTCAGCGAAGTCTGTAGTGGGACAGACTGTGGGACAGCGGAGACGGAGCCGAGCGGTAAATAAGTGGGTCAAGTTAAAATGACAAACACCTGTCTGTGATTTCAGTGATTGGCGTGAGGAGAGCGTATATAAGCGGGCCGTGCGGACAACAGTTTGAGAGACAGAGACTGGAAGCTCGTGCACATATCCTACGGAGTCCTGTTACCGAACGCGTGACATTAGAAAGCTGTATTCGGCAGGAAGAGTTTTCACTGCAACCGTGTTCGGCAAAGCTGTGTTCAGTGGGACGAGTATTATCACCTATTATGTATTTTTGCCTTTGAAATTCTGAGTTAACTTTATTTGAGCGCGACCTCGCGCTGTGAAAAGAGTTGTGTAAATAAAAGTGCACGAGTCCCAGTATTCGCCGACCCTGTGTCTCCTTTCATCACCCACACATAACGAACCTGTTCTTACATCACAAAGTGATGATAAAGTATATATACATGAAAAATACATTTATAAAATGAGTACATATACAAATTCAGGTCCAAAATGTTTGTACGCGTATGTCGTAGACACAAAATAGCATAACTAAGTGGATATAAAGCCAGCGCTGGCATTTGACAAAACTAAAACATTACATCTGAAATTATACATGCAAATACATTTAAAATGATTAAGTCTTAGCCTACTTACAGGTTGTGGCCCAATAACTGCTGCCTCTGGTTTTAAAGTTGGAACTGCTTCATGTTTTAGTTTCTTGTTGAATCCGACATTGAATTCGTGGAGATTCTGGAAGCTGTCTTCCGTAAAATGCGCAGCACAGAGAGCTAGATTACGATCGTCATTTTCAGGAACATAATCAAACATAAATTGTATCCATTGTTGACGAGGTACAGCGTCCGTGGGAAGCTCGAACACAGACGACCTGACAGCTGGGTGAACATAACACACTCGACGAGCAGAAATATGCGCATGCCCTTTTTTTTGCATTTTCCGGAGGGAGGATGATGCAAATGTATGGGTTAGTGACGTCTAAAACCCAGCTGTAGTCCCAATCAAGTCGTTTTAGTAGGCATTCAACTTCCTGATTTTTAAAAGACGATATCTCTGCTTACATTGAACTTTCAGCGCTGCAACTTTGCAGATACTGGTTATGCACCATCAGCTACATTACACACTATTTAAAATGAAAAAAGTGAAATCGCAGTCAACTCCCCCTTTTATTGCAGCATAAGTTGTTTTTATTATTAATCTTTTTTTTTATCTGTTTAAAAATGAATGATTCAATGACTAACTCAAAAAGATTTCACTTGTTTCATTGCTGGATGAATCTACGTTTTTGAACAAATCTATTGAATGTCTGATTCAATGACATTGTTAAGGAGATCTAACCAATCAGCGAATGACTTATTGATGACGCTGAGATGACGTTGGGTGGCGAGTTAGAAACTTCCCGATCAGTTGGCAAGTGGAGTTAAGAGAAGAACGCGCATTATATCTTCCTGTATCTCAACCTTCAATGTTTATCTTCTGTGTGTGCGTTCATGAGAAAATGTAAGTCTATTTACTTAATCGTGATTTAGTAATAGTTAACTGCCACATTACTGTTTGGTTGATGTAAATTATCGAGTTGTTTATTGTTTAGTGATACTGGCCTCACGTCAAAGTCGGACTGTCATAAATATATTAGATAGAAAGTTATTTAAGTTACTGAAGTTGTTTATTTCTGTAGACTTTGTTTGTGGTTACTTGGTGCAATGTTAACACTTTAATGAGTGTCAAGCTAGTAGTATTCGTCGTATTTGAACTGATATGATGACTCAGTGTTTTCTCAGATTCACGTGGAATTCGTGATCCGCATTATATGCGCTTTATACGACATCTAGTGGTTAATTTCGGTAGTGCATTTCAAACCCTGATAATTGTATTGGATGTATAATGACATGTATATTCTTATTGTGTTTGAATACTGTAATTGCAATGTTATTCATTTGTTTATTTCAGACCACACACATATACATAAACACTAATACCAAGTAAAGAGAAGATTCTGAATCCTGTGATGATGTGTTTTGATTGACACCCTGAGGCGAGCACAATCACCTGATCAGCCCATTAGCCAAAACTCCTTTACAGACATAAAGTCACTTGTTGCCACTTACTGATGTAATGATATAATAGTTATAAATAACAAATACCGATATTGTGCATTTGAAAAGACTGAAGCTGTTTCATACTTATACGAGACAACTATTCTCTCTGGGGCAGCATCAACGCAGATTTAACTGTTTCGATGTGATCATACTTGTCAAAGGTTTAATAGCCTGGGAGTTTAAATCGACATTACAATCTTTTAACGATAAAACGTGCACCTCTATTTATTTTTTATTATAATAATTAAAGTAAAATTTTCACATGAAATGAAACTAAAAAGATTTTGTTAGTTCATGTTTAATTTAGTTTACCATTATGTCTTTTTTAAAATATACCCACAATAATTTCAGAGTCAGTAAAACTAATAAATACATGAAAATACTATTTAAATAAAATTGTGTCTTTTAATTGTTTTATGGGTAGTGTTATTTGCTTTTAGACAAACTGAACGAAACAGGTTTAAACCCAGAAACCATGATTTTCGATTAGACCAATATTTAAATTAACTTTAAATAAACTACAGTCATTTAACGTTTTTCAGTGTATCCAGCATCACATGAAATATGATTATTTCAGGTGTTAGCATTTAGCAAATAAAAGATATTGTAAGAACTACTGGTGGTATCCAAAAAAAAGGTAAAAAAGATGAGCTGATAACTCTATCAAATAAAAAGAATTGAACTTCTCAACAATTATTGTTTAGTTCTTCTTTCAGAAAACAGGAACTATACAGGTTTGAGAATTATACCAAAGGCACATAATCTATATACTGTATTAATTCTATAATAAACATAAAAAGCAAGTAGAAGTTGGATGAATCTAACAATAAAGGCTGAAAGATATTGTATTTTTTTTTTTTTTTTTTGTTATTTCCATGAATGCAAAACAACACATGCAGAGTTAAAAAGTACAGTCACACCCTTCACAGGTACATGTAGCATAAGTAAATGTTTCATTTTTGAGCATTAACACTAAGCATTAACACATTAACACAGCTTTCATAACAGCAATAATGATCCTCTTCTCACCTACTTTACTTGCCTTGTCTTTTCTATATGACTGAACTTTTGATTATGAACTATTGGTGCCTCATGGTGAATATAATCCAATGGAGGCATAATTATCAAATATTATGTTTTTTTCTTCTTTTTAATCCTGTCCATTAGGTGTTGTTGGACTGACAGAAGAGTTACATTCTCACTAAGCCTATAAATGTAATTTTCTCATTAACTGTAAACAAGATGCATTATTCTGGATTGTACTTGATGAATTTGGTCCTAGATTAACATAGGTAAAAATGTATGGAAAACATTAAGTGAGTGATATATTGTCCTTGTTTTGTTAAATGATCACACAGACTAGTACAGAAACATTAGACCATAACATTAATATGCTACATTGTCAATAAGTCCAATGCTATTAGAATTAACAATTATCTATTTATTCTCTACCTTACCTTTTTCCTGACCTCTTTTAAACTCTATCTCTTTTTCTCTCTATCTTTGAGAACAACTTTCACAGACTTTGCAGTTGCCCTCGTAAAAAAAAGCTCAAAATTTAGTGGTGTGACTGTGGTCATAGCTCTTAAACTTCAACACAGCAAAGTTATACGTTGTGGCCATCACATAGATGAGCTGAATGGAAGAGAAACAAACCAGTGGGTGCGACCAAACATTGTTTTATATGTGCAGTAGCAACTTTACAACAGAAGTTGCACCACTTCCCCATAAAAGTATGTACGGCTAGGTTAATCTGTGCCTAAAGATCCTGAACTGATGACAGAATATTGCAAAATAGCACCATGGCACTATATTGTACCATTTTCTCTACACATAAACGCAATTC